AGTTCATCTGAGGTCATCTGTTCTCTGGGAAGAGAAAGCGCCTGGAAACTACCAATAAGAGAAAATTCTAGTTTGTTAACTATTTCAACATTATTCTCAAAGCTTTAAAAGAATTTTTTTCACACTAGTTAATATTACTAGTTATCTAGGCAAGGAATTTTACCTTTTAAAGTTTGGATGTATATATATTTTATAATACTCATGAAATTTGAAAGAAAGTAAAGCACACATTGCATGCAGAAAAAGTATAAGGTCAAAATACAACTGTTGACTCCATGAGGTTCTCACTTGATATAGTTTAGCTGGGTCCCCACCCAAATCTCATCTTGAATAGTATTCCCATAATTCTCATGTATTGTTGGAGGGTCCTGGTGGTAGATAATTTGAATCATGGGGATGGCTTCACCCACAACGTTCTCATGGTAGTGAGCAAGTCTCATGAGATCTGATGGTTTTATCAGGGGTTTCCGCTTTTGCATCTTCCCCAGTTTTTCTTGCCACCATCATGTAAGAAGGGCCTTTTACCTCCACCTCCCGCCATGATTCTGAGGTCTCTCCAGCCATGTGGAATTGTAAGTCCAATTAGACCTCTTTTTCTTCCCAGTCTCGGGTATGTCTTTATCAGCAGCATGAATACAAACTAATACAGTAAATTAGTACCAGTAGAGTGAGGTGTTTCTGAAAAAAATACCCCAAAATGTGAAAGCTACTTTGGAACTGTGTAACAGGCAGAGATTGGAACAGTCTGGAGGGCTCAGAACAAGACAGGAAAATGTGGGAAAGTTTGAAACTTCCTAGAGACTGTGGAATGGCATTGACCAAAAGCCTGATAGCAATATGGATAATAAGGTCCAGGCTGAGGTGGTCTCAGATGGAGATGAGGAACTTGTTGGGAACTGGAGCAAAGGTGACTCTTTTTATGTTTTAGCAAAAAGACTGGTGGCATTTTGCCCCTGCCCTAGAGATTCGTGGAGCTTTGAACTTGAGAGAAATGATTTAGGGTATCTGGCAGAAGAAATTTCTAAGCAGTAAAGCATTCAAGAGGTGACTTGGGTGGTGTTAAAGGCACTCAGTTTTATAAGGGAAACTGAATAAAATAAAAGTTTGGAAAATTTGCAGCCTGACAATGTGATGGAAAAGAAAAACCCATTTTCTGGGGAGAAATTCAAGCTGGTTGCAGAGTTTTTCATAAGTAATGAGGAGCCGAATGTTAATCCCTAAGACAATGGGGAAAATGTCTCCAAGGCATGTCAGAGGTCTTCACAGCAGCCCCTCCCATCACAGACCTGGAGACCTAGGAGAAAATGGTATCATGGGCTGGGCCTAGGATCCCTGTATGCAGCCTAGGGACTTGGTGCACTGCATCCCAGCTGCTCCAGCCATGGCTGAAAGGGGCCAATGTAGAGCTCAGGCTGTGGCTTCAGAGGGTGTAAGCTCCAAGCCTTTGCAGCTCCCGTTTGGTGTTGAGCCCTGTGTGCACAGAACTGAAGAATTCGGGTTTGGGAACCTGGGCCTAGATTTCTGAAAATGTATGGAAATGCCTAGATGCCTAGGCAGAAGTTTGCTGCAGGGGTGGGGTGCTCATAGATAACCTCTGCAAGGGCAGTGTGAAAGGGAAATGTGAGGTTGGAGCACCCCCCTACACAATCCCTACTGGGGCACTGCCTAGCAGAGCTGTGAGAAGAGGGCCACCATCCTTCAGACCCCAGAATGGTAGATCCACAGACAGCTTGCACCCTTTGCCTGGAAAAACTGCACTCAATGCTAGCACGTGAAAGAAACTAGATGGGAAGGTATATCCTGCAAAGTCACAGGGACTGAGCTGCCCAAGACCATGGGAAACCCTCTCTTGCATCAGCGTGACCTAGACATGAGACCTGGCATCAAAAGAGATCATTTTGGAGCTTTAAAATTTGACTGCCCCACTGGATTTTGGACTGGCATGGGCCCTGTAACCTTTTTGCTTTGGCCAATTTCTCCCATTTAGAATGGCTGTATTTACCCAATAACTGTACTCCCATCGTATCTAGGAACTAGCTTGCTTTTGATTTTACAGGCTCATAGGCATAAGGGACTTGCCTTGTCTCAGATGGAACTTTGGACTGTGGACTTTTGGGTTAATTCTGAAATGAGTCAAGACTTTGAGGGACTGTTGGGAAGGCATGATTGGTTTTGAAATGTGAGGACATGAGATTTGGAGGGGCTGGGGTGGAATGATATGGTTTGGCTGTGTCCCCACCTAAATCTCATCTCAAATTGTACTCCCATAATCCCCATGTATTGTAGGAGAGACTGGTGGGAGATAATTTGAATAATGGGGACAGTTTTCCCCATACTGTTCTCATGGTAGTGAACAAGTCTTACGAGATCTGATGGATTTATCATGGGTTTCTGCTTTTGCATCTCCCTCATTTTCTCTTGCTGCTGCCATGTAAGAAGTGCCTTTTACCTCCCACCATGATTCTGAAGCCTCCCAGCCATGTGGAACTGTAAGTCCAATTCAACCTCTTTTTCTTCCCAGTCTCAGGTATGCCCTCATAAACAGCATGAAAACGGACCACTTAAGGAAGTGCTAATGATATTCTGCTAGAAAAGTAGATCTGTTGATTGACAATAGAGGACAAGAAACTGAGAACAGACATTCAAATTCATCTGATAGTTAGTAATAAGGTAGATAAAGAATCTAGGAGTCACAGAATATGGGGTAAAAACAGTTAAACCAGTTTACTGAACATCACTGGAGTTGGGTTACTATAGGAATGATCAAAGAATATTCCAAATTGAAGTTGGAGTGCATTAGTATACGGCAGATTATAGGGTTTTAAATCTAAAAAGTAGGCATGAAATTACGTGCCTAAAACATAAAAGGAAGAGAAAGTATATGTACAATATCAAGTTCTAGGCATTTTGCTGAAGTAGCACCAGAGTAGCTTAGTAGTGATCTAAATGTCCAGTAGTCCATAGTAGAATTGTGAAAGCAATACTATCAAGTGGCCAGTTGTTGCTTGGCCAGTAAAAGAGAAAATAGTCTTCAATTTTAGAATAAGAGGGGTGGACAGAAAGATTTTTTGAGATCAGAATTTTATTCACAGGTTGACCACATCCCAGAAATCTGGAAACCTATAGGCTTGCCATAGCCAATTACAAGGAAGTGAGATATAGTGCAGGCTGTATAACTTCTAGAAATTGAAGGCAGGAAAAGTGAAAATGAAAGGTGGTAGTATAAAGCAAGGTTGGTCACCAGCCACTCTTAAGACAGAGTGTAGGAACCTACTTATTGGACACACAATTCCACATGAGATAAGAACTCAGTAGTTTAGGAATTGGAATAATGCAAAATCCCAGTCAATAGAAACTGGAGTAACAAAGCCAGATCAGGAAGCAATAAGGAAATGACGTAAACTTTGGGGATTACTGTCATCAGGCCTCTAACATTACCCACATGTAAAAGCAGTCTTCATTTCAGAGTCACAGCTGGGGCTAAATCTAACAACTTGGCCCCCAGTGTCAAAGTTTAGAGGGATGCAGAAATAAGAAGTCATTTAGACTCTACTTTCCTTCAGTATTATCACCTTTCAAAATTCCCTATTGTGATTGCTGAAATCCTTACATTGCAACAATTTTGATTATGCCTTGACATCGTTACTTCTTTATTTTACCTACCTTATGATTTAGTCACATCAGAAATTCTAGAGGCCTTACATTTTTTCACAGCTATACTTTGCATAGACTTCAACATTTGAAGCTCCTGATTTCCACTTCCATTGCCATTCCCTCATCAAATTTTTTACATCCTCTTTCTATACAATTGTCTTTGTTTATATCTACTTGTTCACAAGGTTTCTCTCATAGTCTAATTAGTGTAAGAGTTCAAGTTTTAAAAGGCTAAATTGATTTCACATTAATCTCTGACCCTGCACCCAAGAGAGAAAAGGAAAGATAATAAGGAAAAATGTTTGCAGTTTTATTTGCTGTTACGCATTTTCTTCACTTGATAATGCTTGGGTGTGATTTTTCATGACTTTTTTTTTTTAAAGTAGTTGCCTATTTATGATTTAATACATACATAATTAGTTATCTTTCCTTTTAAGACTTTATTTCAAAAATATTCAAAAAATATTCAAAATATTCAAAAATAATATATTCCAGCATATCTTCAAGAGACTGTGTTTTTCAACATGTCAACTCAGCATACTTTTCTTCCATCTTTAAATTGTACTATTTCATATTTCAATATCCATGTTTCATTCATTTAGCTAATTTTTCTAAGGAACTAAAACAATCCAAAAAAACTGTACAGATATAAAAATTGACCATTAAAAACTGCTTACATTTATGATGTGATTATAATTCCATTTCTACTGTTGAGTTTTTTCAGTTAATAGATTAATCAAACACACAATTCATCAAATGTCTTTTAACCATTAATGAAAAACAAACATGCATGCTTAATTATGTAAGAAAACCATAAAACTCAAACATACTAACATACACAAATATCACATATAAAGAGAAATTAAAGAAATATGGCTCAGGATATCAAATATAAACTTGTTAAACTATGTTCTTACTATCTCTTAGATAATTATTAATAAAAAGTAACATTAACATAAATCTATTACATCATTCCATAGTAATATTGATAATCTTTATACACCAAATACAATCACACAAAACTATAGAATATGAAGAAGAGATACTAAGAAAAAAGTTTGTGTGGAATATTAAATTTAATAAAATTGCCATTTGCCTCCCCCCTCACCAAAAAAAGCTGTGTGAATCTTGTTGCTGTGATGAGATCACTTTTTCTTTCAACTATGCAATAATTATAATATTCTCTTCCAGGGTAAATATAATTTAAATGTTACACAGAAAAGGATATCATAGACAAATATTTGTTTGAGCTTTTAGTAGTACTTTGAAATTTTCTAACAGTTTTCCATCCCCAAGTAAAATGTCTTTGAAAAACTTACAATCTCAAAAAACAGAAGAAAACTCACCTTATTACAAAATTGTGACTGTCAATCTCCTTTCCACATTCACTGTCTAGCAGAATGCCAGAATTTCCAACAACAGCACAGGTCTTAAACCTGCGATTCTTCATTGGTGAAACTTCAGGTAGGAGGCTATGTAGATCATGAGAAATATTTAGTGTCCGGCGCCTATCAAGCACATAGTGTATGACATCACCAGGCTTAAAACTGCTCTTGACCACTGAGACATCTCGTTCTGCATCTAAGAAACGAAGTATGTTCTTCCTGTGTTTGAAATACAAGCAAAGTTTTTATATTACCATCAGCATATCCAAGAACTGGTGGTGTCATTTAAAAAGTAACATAAGAAGAAATACAAATTGGCAAACTATTAATCTTAGATTACCAAATCGGTAAGCTATGAATCTTAGGTGGTGATTAAACCAATGAATTAAGTTGATTCTATAAGAAATAAAATTTTAAAAATCATTTGCACAGATTCTTCATGACTGTGTACATAGATATAGTATATACATCTATTTGTGGAGTTATAAAAAGTACTCCAATTATCAAAATATATAGAAAAATTGGTATATTAAGTAGAACACAGTTGCCATGACTTGACTTTGAATAGTTATTCTGCTAGCTTCAGCCTATTTTGATAGTCATAAATGTTGTTTAATATCATCTAGTTAAGGTGGAGAGAAATAATTTGAGATTGTTTTTGATTGTATCACAGTTAATGCTATTAAAAGGAATGAACTTCTCAAACTTATATACATTTATACATATGATATGTATATTATAATTATCTAAAGAAGAATTAAAACTATAGCAATAAATATATATGCAACTTTTTCTCTAAGATCAAGAGTCCAGGAAGTAAGATGGATACTTCAAAGACAAAATGAATAGATAGAACATTGGACTGTGTGTGGCAGAGGTAGCTAATTGTTCCTTAGTTTCCTTTCTTCTCTTTTTCCTTCTAATATTTGAACCTTCTAAGTTTTACCTGGTCACATGGATGCTCATCAAGTCTCAAAACCCAAGTAGAGCTCAGCTGGGTCATGCAAGTTAGTTTTCTTAATTAAATAGGATATGAGTGGATCATATGAGTTTATGTGAGAAATAAAGAAATTTCCTACTTGTTTGGCCACTAAATTTTAAAGTTACTTTTTTGGTCGATACTTAGCCAACCCATACCTAATATATAAATTGATAACAGATTGAGAGCTACATGAACATAAATATATGCATATGCTTAGGTAGATGATGGAAAATGATTTTTTTATATATATACACACATATATATACATCCTATATATGTATAATTATTATACTATACATATATATGGCTGGCTGGAGAACTGATGATCCTTGGCATGATATAGAAAAGCACCTGATACAAATGCTGTCTGCAATAATTGGGAAGTTGTGCCATACATCTAATAAATATGTTGTTCTTAGATAATTGTTTAAAATGTGTCTGTATGTTGGTTTATGTTAGTTTCTCCTTTTAGCAAGGCACTAAAAGAGGTGAAGTCAGGCATAAAATAGCCAACTAACTTGCAGGCTGAGATAAAAGAGAATACATATCTAGCAGTGCCTGTAATCTGAACTGTGTGAGAGTCTATTGATTGGGACCTTTTAAATGTTTCTGTAACCCCAATTAGCAAGAGATACCACTATAAATTGGAGCCATCCCGGCAGCAAAAGGGATATTGCCTTCCCATATAAGTCCATAGATTCAAATGACTTAAGGGTAGCTGCCATTAAATTGAGAGGAGGGAAGGATAGGTCAGAGTACTTAGAGGAGAGTTCGAAGGCTTAAGAACAGTGAGCAGAAGAAATCACTGGATGAGGTTATTTATACCTGGAACTAACAAGAAGGGAAGAGTCCGGGACCCTAGTAGGTTTTAAGGAAAAAAAAAGTGTATATATATATACACACACACACACACATGTGTATACACACACACACACACACACATATATATATATGGCTTTAACATCTCAGCTCTAGAGAAACATGAATCAACAAAATCTAATGCTTAATATGCATGCTTTACCAGTACAAGTTTTCCTACTATGTGGTCAAGTTATTACCTGATATTCAAAGCAGGGGGTTGTGTTTAGCTCAAATTATGAACCTGGTCTACAAAAGTCTGGAATTGTTTGATTCTAGGGGTATCCAACATAATAGGGGATATACAACATAATAACAGCAAGAAACAATTTAAGAAAACTCTACACCTAGGTTGGAAATTGGATATTATTTACTAAAGTGCTGTTAGTGCAAGCTTATATTTTCAAAGTAATAACAATAATGGCATTATTTTAACATTTAAGATATGATGGACACATTTTTTCCTCTACTGCTCTTACTTTTTAAGTTCATCACAATTAGTAAATTTTATTACTGAGAGCAGAATATAACCTTACCCCTTGACTCCATCAAAAGAGTAATTCTCTAACTCAGAAGGCATAAGCATGATTAGCAAAGAAGGGAGGAAAGTAACTCAAATCTTTTCTTTTGTTGTCTTTATTTGTATTTGCTCTAAATAGGTTCCAGTTTAATATTTGTTCTAATTAGAAAACCAAGTGATTGAAAAACTCTGCTCTGATTTTATAAACAAGAAATATGTCCATCAGCTAGTTGAAAAAATAATTTTATGATTTTTTCCCAAATATTCTGAATATCAGGTTAAAAGCAGTAGAGTTTGTACAGGAAAGCCTATATAATACTCTACAAATGAAATCACAAAATTTGATAGAAATACCACTGACACACCATAACAGTTTATCTTAGCAAAGTCCAGGTTATATAAGAAGATAATTATATTTTAAATAAGAAACCCTAGGGCTTATGTATTATAGAAACTGCAAAAGTATTTATGTCAAGCACTTAATGATTTTTCACAAAAGTTAACAACTAGCACCAAAAGTGTCAATATGCAGAGACTTTTGTATATATTTATTGAGTACCACTTATTTGTCTGGTGAATAATTAATATCTGACACCTGTACTTCAACAGAAATTTCTCATTTCCTGTGTAAATGACAAGGCTGGCTCTAAAATAGAGACTACACGGATGTGGTTAAATCATCAAGCTAGATGGTGTTATCGTTTTTCTTTGAATATAATTTAAATGGGTTGCTGTAGAGCTATTTGAAGATGTACGCTACCAAGAAGTGGCATGTTTGCAAGCTTACAGCGAGTAGATTAGTAGTCCTGGTGTGAAAAAAGACTCTGTAGCTTGGAAATCCAAACGGGAAATGGTCAAAAAAGTTAACACTTACATGCTAGTCAACTAACATCAAAAGGGACTTTCCAATAACAGCACCTTTGCTGTGTTACAGACAAGTTAGTTGCAAAAATAATGTAAAACATGTCTTTTAAGTTCCTGAGTATAGCCAGGCGCGGTGGCTCACGCCTGTAATCCCAGCACTTTGGGAGGCTGAGGCGGGCAGATCACGAGGTCAGGAGATCGAGACCATCCTGGCTAACACAGTGAAACCCCGTCTGTACTAAAAATACAAAAAAATTAGCCGGGCGTAGTGGTGGGCGCCTGTAGTCCCAGCTACTCGGGAGGCTGAGGCAGGAGAATGGCGTGAACCCTGGAGGCGGAGCTTGCAGTGAGCCCAGATCGCGCCACTGCACTCCAGCCTGGCAGAGTGAGACTCTGTCTCAAAAAAAAAAAAAAAAAAAAAAAAAAAAAAAAAAAAAAAAGTTCCTGAGTATAATTAAATCTCTTTACTTTATTTACTCTTAGGGAAAAATGATTTAAAAGGAGAACTATAAGAGTTAAGCAAAGTTTTGAAAGACATCATATTGTCTAACTCTTAGAAGAAACTAATGCTTAATAAGATAAATAATTACGAAATGCAGATTTTAATTACGTGTTTTTCCAATGTTGTTATAGGCTCGCCAGTATTTTTTTCAATTGAAGCAGTAAAAATAGTAAAAGTGATTTCAAAACAAAAATGACTACCAACTCACATAGACGAATCAAAATATAAAAACACAAAAAGTTTAGGCAAAACTCAGAATTCGCTATTTTACAAAGTAAAAAGTAAAAGAGGTAAACTTTAGTGACTCTGGGTTTTTTGTTTTTGTTTTTGTTTTTGTTTTGTTTTGTTTTCTTATTCCCGAACCAAACTTTTAGTTTCTGTTTTAGGTCTTCTACATATGGGAAGTTATCTGAGTTAAGATTCCTTTTCTAGGATCCAAGAAAGACTGAAAGTAATTACTATGAGTGAATAATATTATGACTTAAGTGCTTAATAATTTCTGGAAACGGTAAGAAAAGGTTGGCTTTTTATCTCCTAGTGAAAACAGTTTTTAGACTGTAGATGTAATGCAGAATTAAAAGCTTTGTGAATTTGCTAAGTCTAGTTGTTGTTCAGACTATAAATATGAAAAAAAATGCATTCAAATATAATTAGCTAAATGTCACTGGAAGCATAGAAAACTCCTGTATTTACACTGAACTGAAACAACACCATGTCACCAAGGAGAACATACATGCTTTTGCTAAGAAGACAATTGATAGAAATTTTTGTTTAACTGCAGGTCAAACAAAATTATTTGAGAAATGAGAGAGGTAGAAAGAAAACTGGCTTTAATATCTATGCTCTATCTAGAGAAACATGAATCAACAAAAGCTAATGCTTAATATGCATGCTTTACCAGTACAAGTTTTCCTGGTACGTGGTCAAGTTATTACCCGATATTCAAAGCAGGGGGTTGTGTTTTCTGTGCATGACTCAAAAGAACAGACAAACCAAAAAAAGACCCTTCACAGGTCTTTAACTGTCATTTTGTGATCATAATGCAACTTTCGAAGCTTCATAAGATAAGCAAACACCTAAATTGAGTAACTATTTTAACGTTAAAGATAACTGAAGGAATCTGAAAATGTGTTTCATTTTCAGTGAAACTAAGTATCTTAGTCATAGAAATTATTTATTGTTAGGCAATATCAGCCTTAAACTGAGAGGTTGGTTTGGACTGTTGAACTGACAAGTAGAGTTCTACACGGAAACTTTTAACTGAATTTTCAACTAGAACTTCCCTTTCAACATCACCTATCACTTGAAATAGCAACTGCAGAATCCCAGAAAATGAATTTACTGAACATTGTTTAGTAACAAGTTTTCACTTGTGAAAAGTTAAATATAGCTAAGCTATCACCAAGTGCCACTCTTCTCTGTAAGTTTCTTGGCAATAATAAGCACACAGTTGCAACTAAAATTTAATCTAAATGACATTGTTAACTATATCAGAAAATACTGTGTGACAAATCTTATAGGTGGAATGTATCACAAGTTGAGAAGCAAATTAGGCTATGATACATATATTAGGGATCAGTTTTTGCAAACTTTAGACACTGACTACAAGAAAAATCACTGTAAATTAAGTTAGTACTGACACAGTTCACTAAAAGAAAATAAAAAGTAAAATTAAAAAATGCCAAGTGTTTCATTATGCCTACAAAAAAACAGAGAGAACATACATATTTTGTTTATTTATTTCAAAAGATTATTTTTGCAAGGCAACTTGCCTTAAAGTGCTGAAAAAATAAAACCTTTAACTGTATCTTGTTTAGGATTTCTAAGACCTAGCAGTTATGGGAAAGCCATCTTAGTACCCTCAAAAAAAAAAAAAAAAAAAAAAATCTTAAACACAGCAAATGAAAAGGCAAAATTGTCCCACAATACTTGATGAAGAGCATTTTTAGTTTAATTTACACCCTAGACTGCCGTTTGATATTTGGCCCAGCATTTGGTAATGTTGAATGAAAAATATCTTGTGTTATTTTAGAGCAAAGAGAATCATTTATTCCATAATGATAAATTTTAATAATATACATTTGGGTACGAAAATATATTATTAACAAAAAAAATATTTATAAGGTCCTGGTTCCTCAGTCAGGAGGTCTGGGTTTGAGTCTTGACACTGCCACTAATAAGCTTTGTGACCTGAGATTAACTCTACTGGTAACTTATTGATCAAAGCCAGTAGAAGATGGTATACACATTGTATGTATACCTTTTTGTAAAGTACATCTATGTATGCAAAAGAAAATTTTTCTTGTCAGTTAAGCATCTATAAATTTGCAATTATGTTTAGTTAACCTGCAAGTTTTATGTATTTCAGATCATTGATATATCATGACACTAAGAGCTGAAATATTGTTTCCTAATTTTGATGTGATAAAGCTGTCCTGATGTGTACATTTGTACATTTCTATACATCTATAATTCATGTTTGCACTGTTTGAGGTTTCTAGTCAACATATAAAAAACAACAACAAAAAAAGAAAATAAATAATCCAAATATGGAAAAAAAGTCAAGTTGCAAGTATTGGACCTGACTGTATAATCTCTCAGTACAATGTTCACAGATTTATTCACAACATCTAATGGATCTTAAATATGTCATTTCTTAGCTTGTAATAATAAAGAACAAACTTTTATCAATAATATCAAGCCTTAAAACTAGGATAATTATTTTGAGTGCAAAGTTAGCTGTAGAATGCATAAACTCCATATATTTTGAATCCTCAAAGTACAATGAAGTAACACATGGAACCATTTCTCATAGACAACTCCATAGAAGTACAGTTGTTTGATGAATACATAGGAAGCAATTCTTGGTGTGCTTATGAAAATAATATAAGGCATATGGGAATGAAGGGGCTAGTAATAGGGATGAAAATCATATCTACAAATGTAAAAAAATATATCTCAGGAACTATTTTCACATTTTAATATGTGGACAAAATTAGGAATATAATAAAAGTATCATAAGTTTAATAAGATTTTTAAATTTGAAAGATTTATAATCATAGTTGAATCACGTAAGATAAAAATTGGTTGGAAATAATGTCTTTATGTTCTTACTCATAAGTGGGAGTTGAACAATGAGAACACATGGACACAGGGAGGGGACCATCACACACCTGGGCCTGTCGTAAGGCAATGGACAAGGGGAGGGAGAGCATTGGGACAAATACTTTATGCATGCAGGGTTTAAAACGTAGATGATGGGTTGATAGGTGCAGCAAACCACCATGGCACATATATACCTATGTAACAAACCTGCATGTTCTGCACACATCCTGGAACTTAAAGTAAAATAGAAAATAAATTAAAATAAACAAAAATGTAAAAGTAGAATTTTGAAAACATTTTTAAAATTTACCCACAGCCAATCACTGACCCAAAGTGATATGGAAATTCTTAAATGCCAGAAAGGTGAGGAAGAAAGAAAATAATAATAATAATAATAGTAATAAATGGTCCATAATTAGTTTCCAATATGTCTTTTAAAAATATTTGCAAAAACTAAGCCAACAGTCAGATACTTTCATATTCTAAATTTTTTATTACAGGTGTCAAACTGATTAATACTCACTAGTCATTTCTGCTATAGCCAATTCTAATTTTTATGAACTCTTTGTACATTGTACAATAATGGTTTTTCAAATTATCCTTTCCTTTCAAGGAAGTGACAACCTTGTATGTATTATTCAACATTTGTTCATTGTTTTATTGTTTATTTCTTTAATCTGTTAAGGAGAACCACACAAATATAGTACTAACATTTCATTCATATTATCAGCTATTATAATTGAAAATAGATCACCCTCAAATACCTGAATGCAATGCTCATTGGTTTGTAAAGTTGTAATATGAATCTTCTGGGTCAACTTAGGTTTATTACCCTCCACTTGAATATGTTATTAATAGCAAAATGTATAAAGCCTCATGCATATTTATAGTATTTGATTTTTATATAGCTATTAGGAAAGGCATTACCAGATATAATAATTGAACTAGTGCCAATTACTTATTTAATTTACTTAATAGATTTTTTGTTATCTGACACATTATTTAGCATGGCTAGATATGCTAGTTAAACTATTACAATATTTTATTTTACTTTCTTCCATCAGGTTTCTTTACCAGATCTCTGTAGCCTTATTTGGCCCCTTTCTTGCTAACTCATCCAATTTGAAAGTTATTTTTCTGCTCACAGATCAAATTTTTGCTATTTAATCACCTATCTCTCTCTTTTTCCAATGTACCTTCAAGAAACATGAACCTTCACACAATTCTAAACCAAAATATATCTGTGTTTGTAACCCCACATCGTCTCACATCTTGTGGCTTTTTCCTCATGATTATCTCATCTCTCACAGGGTTTCTAAATTCAAATATGAGGATGGGGATATGAGACAGAGAAGAATGCACTTGATAGATATCATGAAAGATGTGAGTTCCAAGTATGAAAATGTCAAACTTGAGAGACCATGGCTAGGGTCAGCTTTAACCAGCTAAATGTTAGGAAGAGTACAGATTCAGAGTTTTCAAATCTTTCCATTTCTCAAGAGTTTATGGAAATCTGTACTTTTATTTAAAAAACCTCCTGGCTTTTAATCTTGGCTTTAAGGTTTCTTTTTTCTTTATCCAGTGGAAATAAATTTTGCTTGCTGGCCATATTTTACCCAGAAGTCATTGATTTATGAGCTCTATCATCAGATTCTACTTATCTATTCATTCTTGTAGGAGGCACATGAATATAGAAAGCTCCCACCAAACTAACAGCAAACAAATATACACCACTTGACATTGCCATGATTTGATTCCTGTTTCCCTTTCCAGTCAATTTCAAACCTTTAAACCAAAGTAGTAATACTATTCCTGCATCTCCCTGATGCCCATATTTTTAAAATTTCCAGACATAAGTTCAAGTAAATTTCAACATGCTGTAATTATCTTTGCTCCAAAACATTGTGTGAAATTTCTGTGCATACTCTAAAGATGAGTGTAATAGACTAGTAGACTCCTCCTTCAAGTTTCTTATAATCTACACTAAAGGTGGGTATAATCCAAGAAATGAGTAGGTAGAAACCCACGAAAATTAATCAGCCCCTTATATCTTAGTCACTAAGCTACACCTATAAAATCTGTGTGTTAATGCTATCATTGACTTTGAGATTATTTTATTATATAACAAATGTGTTCTTTCACACTTTAGTGAGTTCTTGTTTACTGAAATGCTTTAATTCAAAGGTACCAACCAATATAGTAATGCAATGTAACTATAGAGAAAAAACAATCTTCCTGTTTCCTCCATAATTGAGAAGGTGTGACCCTACTTGTTACCTATTAGTAACAGGTTTATATCAGAAGAAAATTACATACTGGATAAATGTAGGCATGGAGTATGATTTCAAGAGTGGGTTTCAGCTAAAATGACTGGTCTTACAAAGAAGTCAGTAATCTAGAAAGCTTATTTTCTGATTTTTATCCAATTTTTAAAACATGAGCCCACACAGAAATACTCATTCACAGGATAAGACTAATTTATTTATAATCGTCAGCACAATAGGAGTGTAATAGGCTCAATTTTCAACTAGTTGAGAAAACCCAAAAGCAGAATGAAGACTCAATAGGGAAGTTAAAGATAATTCTTAAAATATATGTCCATCCTGAGTAATTGAGTGAAGTATGTTAAATATTAGTACTCTGATGAATATTGTATTCCACTCGTATAAAGACACTATATTCAAAACTCACATATTCATCCTTAAATCTCTGACTATGTAATGATTTCAGTTTTATGATTTCATATTCTTCAGTGAGCAACATTAAATAGAGCTGGTTCATTCTTTTATTTAAGTATTCATACTTAAACCATAAATCAGGTGTTTAATATAAATTTGCTAAGCCCAACATATTTGAGGACATGATGTGAGATTTATTATGCCTTAGTAAAGAAACTCACCTTATCTCTAGGACCAAAGAGAAATTGATTTTCCAACCTTCTACATTGTGCTGGAAGATTGAAGAGCCAGCCTTTCGAATGATTTTATCAGAGCTATTGACAAGTGACCGACTCAAAGACAATTCACCATCTCTGAAACAAAACAAAATTGCCAGCTTTGTGAAAGTAAGAAACATTTTGTCTATATAGCACAGTACACAATTTGAATTAATACTGGTGATGAATTTTAGATACTTTTTCCCCTACAAGTTAGAAGGAAATATGCAAGCATGATGAAAGGTGTTATGAGGATTAAGTGAATATGACTCTCAGAACAAGAATCTACAGGTAACAATTTCTGAATAAAAAATGGTATATATGGCACTTGAAGAAAAATAATCACCAAACATAAAGACAGAATTACATAATTCAGCAATCTCTCCTCTGGGCATATACCCAAAGGAATTGAAATCAGTATGTCAAAGAGATGCTTGCAGTCCCAAGTTCATTGCAGCATTCTTCACAATAGCCAAGATGTAGAAATAATATATGTGTCCATTAACAGAGGAATAGATAAAGAAAATGTGGTTATATATACCAATGGAGTACTAGTCAGCCCTTAAAAAGAACAAAATCCTGCCATTTCTGCCAACATGAATGAACCTAGAGGACATTATGGGAAGTGAATAAGTCTAAAACAGAGAGACAAATACCTTTTAATATCACTTACATGTTGATTCTAAAACAGTGGAACTCATGGAAGTAGATAACAGAATATAGGGAAGAAGGAGTGGGGAATGGGGAGAAATTGGTCAACAGGTACAAAATTTCACAGTTAGACAGGAGGAATAAGTTCTGTTGCACAACACAGTGACTATAGTTAATAATATTGTATTGTATATTTTTATGTAGCTGCAGGAGATTTTAAATGTTCACACCACAAATAAATGACATGCTTTTGAGGTGATGGATATGCTAATTAGCCTGATCTTATCATTACACAGTGTATACTTGTATAGAAACTTCACATTGTATCCCATAAATATATACAATTATTATTTGGCAATTAAAATATGATTAAACAAATAAGCTCTGTTTCCTACTAGTCACTCACTAGCTCTGTTTAGACAACAGAGACAGAATGTTTTGTCAGTGCTCCTCCATCTGTATAATTGTGATTCCTAAGACTGTAATTTCATTTTTACAGAAGGCATATATGCATAATAGAAGGGGCTTCTGTTTTGAAGCAAGAATAACTTGGACTATCAGGTGATCTGGGCATCTTTGTGACTCTATGACTTGCTTGAGTTCCTGGACTCTACTCTCTTTCTAAGCCATAGTGGTCTTACCTTACCTTGAAAATTACAATAACTTTATCTAATATACCATGGCTTTGTGAGGATCAAGCAAGGCTCTGCATGCAAAAGTAATTTTTCAAAAATTGCATCGATTTCAAAACATCTCAACAATGAGTCACTTCCCTGACAGTTGGTGGAGAGACAGAGATTATAGTAGACAGAAAACTCATTCAGTAGCCATTGTTACTGGCATTTTCTCTTACATTAAAAAAAAAAAAAAAAAAAGACTACCTCTCTGCAACCAATAGTGTCAAGCTAGTATATCATGGGGCATGGTACTAGCTGAGATGGTGGTGGGAGTGATGATGCTGGCAGATACCTATAATAGTATGCATGCCATTAGAACATTTATAACTGAATAAATTCATTATTCAATGGACCATTTTCTTGTACTTTATAAATGTAAACCCAGACTCAGAAAATCAAAAAGCTACTTCTTATGGGATACCAATAGTAACCGTAGCCCTTTGAATATTTGTATTTGTTTCTTTACATCACCTTTTACTTCTTAGAATGTCAAAATATAGTTAAAAAGTAACATGACTATTTGCTCCATAACAAAGTCTAAATCTGTGTTTTTGTTTTGTTTTGTTGTTGTTGTTGTTTGTTTTTTTTTTACGCAATCCTCTCCTAGTATCAATGGAAACATTGCCTGTGTAACAGTTATTGGATGAGTTCTGTAACTGAAGCCTTATAGTTTGGTATTTTGGTTTGCATTCTTTTTTAAACATGTAGTTTAAATCTGAAGCAGTTCAAAGCATCATAGGCTGCTACTCCCTGTGAAATTCAGAATTCTATAAAAATTAGTATCTTAAACTATCCTACTGATGAAAATGATACATTTGCATGCCTGTGCATGGCAAATAATTATTGCTTTACAGGGGGCATTTAGGATGCCAGGAAACACGGGATGTGCTTTACTGACCATCGGCCTAGAAGTCAATTTTTATATTATATTTCTAATGATAATAACTACTTATGAATAAAAATGTGGCTATACACAGAAGCTAACATTCACACTTTGGGAAATATGACTACATGGTTTCAGGTACAAACTATCACTATTTCTGGGGATAAGAAATATTTCTAATCATCACCTTATTAATTGATGTATCAATGTCCTCTTTTTCTAACCACAGATTGATATCATTATAATAATTATTTTCACCACCAATAAACTTTCATAGGAGAAATAAAAATATACATGGACTTGCACTCTTTAAAATGTGTGGAAAATCAGGGTATGGTGGGCAGTGCCTACTCAGGAGGCTGAGGTGAGAGGATTACTTGATCCTAGGCGTTAGAGACAAGTCTGAGTAACATCACAAGTCCCTGTCTCTAAAAACTAAGTAATTAATTAAATAGATAATCTATAGATGATTGCTTCATTGACATGTAAATACAGATACATTTTTACATGGCAGAATGTTTGCTATGATGTTTTCAGTTGTTCCAAACCTTTTCAGAATATCCAAGATTTAAAAAGTTTAAATCAGTGTTCTATGAATAAAATGCTACCATCTTACTCTGCTGTTTGAATTTCTTTCATTGAGCTGGTGATAAGCCAAATTTCAGACTTTTATCACTGGAAATAATTTTGAATGAAAATATCTGCAACTAGTCACACTTCTTATACTCAGTGTGGGAGAAGGCCACTTAGTACAATCTGAAGCTCTAGAGTAAATTCCTCTGTATAAAGTTAAATGGGTCCCATGGGATGTTTCACTCATGACCTTGGTAGCATTCTGTCTCAGAAAAGGCTCTTCCTTCCCATGAATGCGAAGCTCGAAGGATGTTGCCACCCCTCTACTTATTTCTCTTTCCAGATCAGACATGACTTTTGAACAGCTGCACTGAAAACATTTATTGCATAGGATCATCTACAAGAAGATTCAATACGTACTTTTACAAGGAAAAGAGCAAAACACATCAAAGAAATCACTCTGCACAAATCAATATAATACAAAGGATCCCTGTTTACATGGAGCAAAGAAAAATTCACTAAGATAATCATCCATGTGATACCAATGGCAGGAATTAATCACTTTTTAGGCAACCTAGTATCTACAAATATTTCCAGGCTTCACCACAAGTTACTCTAATAGATTTGCAGTACGTAAGACATATGATTAATTTCACTTCATGGCATTAGGTCTCAAAAGCCCCGTATTCCACCCCACTGAAACTCTTCATGACTTGGCTTTTGAATGTATTTGTTCCCTTTGGACTAAGTTAAACTTCCTCTTTAATATAAACATTTTAAGAAAAGAATTTGCATGAAACTAAGCCTGAACACACACAGCAGGCCATTTTGTATTTTCATTACCTAAGTGTCAAACAACTAAAAATAAAGATGATAGGTTCTACCTTAATTTATTGCTTATGAGTTTTATTAGAATTGTGAAATGTGAAATGTGAAGTAAAGTGCAAATTCTAGATTTCACGAGGTTGTGTTTCAACCTAGAACAAACTGGAACTAACTTTGCTGTCAATGGTAATACTCTAAGTAAAAATACTTATTTCCACTTTCAATTTTATCATAGGTTTCAGAACTCATATTGTTGATTACTTAGTAACACAACCTAAAGTACATACTCAAATTATAAGGGAGATTTCTGGATAATAAGAAAAGTAAGTTAGTCTCATTTGTAGTCAACCAGAAAAGTAGTGTGTAGCAAGTGTGTAGCAAGATTTAAGGACTAACAAAACAAATATTTATAGCACATTAAAGTCTATGTTACACTTTCAAATATATTATCTCATTAAATGAGGATGCTTACATATTTTACCTGTGGGAGCCTTACATTAACACATTTCCAATCATACCCAAAAGAGCACAAAGAGCTAGTTAAGTCATAAGCCAACTGTGAGGTCTATTAAGAAAGAAAAGTTACTCAAGAACACACCACTTAATGCCTTCACTGCTCTTTGACTTAAACTTTATTAACTAATAGGCTTTCGTGGAAGGAAACATGAATTTTAGATGTTCAATAAGCATTACTTGACCTATGCTGGAACAATTCCTTATATATATATTTAAAAAACAAAACAAAACAAAACAAACATGCCACAGGTATTCCTTTGGAGATATGAGAGTGTGGATGGTTGGTGAGAAGGTTGTGCTGGTTCTCTATTTTTCCGTCTGCGTGGAATGATGGGACTATAGTAACTGTAGATGGGACCTTCAGTTGCGGGGGAAGGGTCGAAAGGATAAAGGAACTGCCTGTGTATGGCAAAAATGGTAGCAGAAAAGCTAAATATGAATCTGGGGTGGTGACGCAAGATTCAAGGACTACGGAAGGCCCTTCTTTGAAACTGCTGCCAAGCCACAAGGCTCGCAGTGCCCCCCAAAGGCCAGAGACTGCCTTGGTTGCCTCACTTGAATACTGGACCGGGATCTGGAGTCGAACCTCCATTCCAGTTTACTCAAAACTGGCCTCTCCACGTGGCTTGGGTAGAAAGAGAGTCAATGAGATGATTAGATCGTTTCATGAGTCAACTCCTCTACCAGAAGCGCTATTTGGGAGTTGAAACGAAATAACGAGCTCGAGTCACAAGCTTTTCCACTGAACCTTTCATCCTGGAGAAAAAAGAAACAGTGCTCAGGGAGCCTAGATGTCCTCGCATTGTTCCTGGAGCTCCAACTCCATCCACAGTCTCGGTCTCTCAGGAAGAGCCAAAGCAGCCAGGACGCTACAGGGCACGGGTGTAAGCGCGATGTTCGCGGTCAGCCCTCTGCCTCGCCCCACCAGACTGCCATTGCGGGTTTTAATTAAGAAGGAGGAGCCACTTGCCAACTGAGCGTTGAAAGTGACTTTGGTGTGTGTGGGGGGGGGAGAGGGGGGAGGGAGGGGGGCGGGGAGGGACGAAAGGGGCCTGAGTCCTGAAATAAAGGCTTGCCCCTGTCTTCTCACTCATTCTTTCCCCCTCGCCGCCAGCGCTCTGGGAGCAGGGGGATAGCCCCGGTGCGCGCCTCTCTTCCTGTTTGGATAACTCAAGCGCCTGCCCCAACGCCTTCTCAGCCAAGCTGGGAGGAAACTGCCTCAGCTTGAAAAGGATGCGGGCAAAAACCCAGCCCGGCTAGCTCAACTGCCGCGCCTGTGCCCGCCTCCTCTGCCTTAACGCCTAGGGCTGCTTCCACCAGCCGGCGACGTCCAGGAAAGGCCACAGGAAAAATGACACCCGTGCAATGTGGAGTGTCCCGGCTCCACTCCCCCCGCAGGGATTCGAGGCGCGTTCCTTTTCCTGGCCACGGTTTAGGGAGGCTCGGAGACTGACACCTCGGCAGTATCTGGCGACCCTCTCCTCACTCGCCCCGCCCACTTCTGCTCTCCAGGGTCCGAGCCAAGGGCCCGAACCCTCGGAGCCCTAGTGAGCCTTGGCCGCTTTGTCTGAGATCAGGCTTATCTTCCTAGCCCACCGCCCGGGAGGGAACAAAGAGCCTCGACCCTCACGCTCTAGCCTCTGCCTCTCATCGGAGCCCCACGCGCCCATTCATCACCTTTCTAAAGACCCCTTTGTCTGTCTGGCAAGCACAGGTCTGCAAGGGATGCCCACGCCCCTGCCCAAAGTCCTGCTTTTCTAACAATTGAGCCAGATTGGATATTCAAGCCACCCAGTCTTGTGTAAACGATCTCATACCGGTCTCTTTTACCCCCTCAGAATAGACCATGTTTAGATTCGTTGATGCATAACGACCATTCCAGTCCATTCCTTGCTAGCTTTTTCATTCTCTTCCAGTCCTCATTGACTGTGCTACTGTTATCCTGGTTTTCTACAGAATAGCAAGTCCTTCTGTAAGGATAAACCTGCATCTTGCTCACTTAAATAAATGCTTATTACCTAGGGAGCAGGAATATCAAGAAATGGAGTGCAGGAAGTTTAAGAGCATGTGTGTGTGTTAGCAGTCCCATCACACATACACACACAAACACACACACAGACACACACGCGCAAGGACTGTTTTCTTTGTTTTAATCAATGTCAGATAAAAATATAAACCGGGCAGGCATCTCTGCTGGTGTGTAGTTTCTGATAGAGGACGCCTCCAAACCGGAACAGGGAGGACTTCCGAAACAGGACTTTGAATAGAGTTGACAATCAGGTTCACATCCTCAGAAAAAGGCTTCCAGGCTATGTCAGCAACACAAAGTTGCACCACCTCCTGGGTAAACTTCAAAGACACAGAGGCCAGCGGGTGGAAGGAAGTGTGATATTTAGAGAACTTAATGGGGCGGGGGAGAGTCTGAACTCATCTAGACAAACTAAAAAAAAAAAAAAAAATAGCAGAAATATAGTCTCTGTGAAGCTACAGTACCCAGTTTCTTTCTAAAACTGTAACCATGACGCCCATGCGTTTTACCCATAGAAGAACAAATAAGGAAGTATCCTTAGTGGTACTGGAGTTTCTAACGCAAATTATAATACATTAATCTATCCAACGTCAAAAAGAAAAAAAAATTAGAGAAACAGAGTATACCTATTTCCTGCTTTCTAAGCTTTACCTTCAGCCCTTCAAGAAACGATCTATCTCCAGTATCTCCTTAGGTGATAGGACAGATAAAACAGGCAACCGTTTGGAGAATAAAGACATCTCTCTCTGTCCACAGATTAAAAGGACAAGGGCACACGTTCTTTGTTGACACTTCTGCAGTGACTTCTCCTTTGGCGTGAGAGCACCCAGGGCCAACACAACTGTCACCACAACCGCACAGAGCAAGTTGAACTCATACTGGGAACAGCTTAGAGAAGCACGCACATCTCAACAACAGCCTTTGTTATTTAATTCATGACACTAACCACACGCAAGCTCAAACACACACACATGCTATCCTAACCACCACTCTACCTTCTATATTCACATTTCATTTATGGCTTGACTTTTTGTCATATCCTGAAATGAAGCTTTGCATTTACCCGATGAGTTGCGTCTCCTGGTGCTCCTCAGTTCTTGCTATTTCTTTTGTCTTATAAAAGATCAGGAGCAGACTTATTGTGCAGATCGTCCACCTCTTCCTAATGGAGCGCATCTTGGGTGCCCGGGAAAGTCCTGGTTGCCCCAGCTCCGGCACCTTCTCTTGATATAAAGACTCCGTTTTGGGGAGATAGTCGCGGGGTTGAAATCTGTAAAATGCGAGGAGAGCTTGGAGCCGGGATCCCAGGATCAGATCGCTGGGGTCTTCTGTGGCCGAGCTCCCTCTTGTCCTCGAGCGCTGCCCAGCGACCTCTCGCCCCGTTCGCGCCAGGGTCGCTCAGCGCCTCCTCCCTGGGGCTCAGGTTTCTTTTCAGATGAGACACCTTGTGCATTGGAGGTGGCGGCAGCTTCTGCAGCTGGGTTCGGGGGCGTCACTGGCCCTTCCCTCTTGCTAGGAGATAAACGCTGCGCAAAGCCAATCACCGGGCTAAGGGGGCGGAGGCTGCTTGGAGAGTAACGTCCCCGGCTCTGCCTGCTCTGTGCCGGGAGAGGAAGCTCACTGTGCTACGCGCCTGCGAGCTCACGCACATACACATATACATACATACATACGCACACACATGTACACACAGAGCCACACACACTCTCCTGGGACATCAAAGCATCAGCTCTCTGGACCTGGGGGCTCCAAGATAGTCTATCCGCATCTAGGTGAGAGGGCACCTCGCCTGGGGACAGATTACAAAAGCGTCCCGCCCGAGGAATGCTTCGGGTAGAGCTAGGGGTGGATTGCAAGAGGAGTACCTTCTTTCAATCGCTTTTGCTAAACACACACCCTCACACGCAAAAACAAGCCCTCCGAGGTGGAGTGAAACGGGGTGCCGGAGTGGGGATGGCGTTGGAAGGAAGAAGACTTTTATTATTCCACCAACAGCTCAATCTGGAAAGACACGCATGAACCTGTTAGGCGATCAGCCCACTCTGCATGGGTGGTGGACGACGACTCTGGCTCAGCATTCTGAAGGAAACAAGTGATGATAGAGGTGTCATTAGGAACTTCATGGATATTTATGCTCCTCTCTTTAATTCTCATTTGGAAACTCCTCACGCAGAAGTCAAGGAAACTCAAGTCCCGCTTAAACTTCATTGCAGAGAAACAGGGTTCTGAAAAAAAAAAAAAAAAAGCAGCTACCACGGACCTCTCTTTTAAACGCAAATACACCCACACACATTCGGATACCAAGAAACGAAGGAAAGAAAGAAGGAAAGGAAAGAAAAGGGGGGGGGGGGGAGGAAGGAAGAACAAAGTCCTCTCCAAAAGTCTCAATTATATATACATACATATGCAGCCTCTGATTGTCACCTCTCCTCCGTCCTACCATTTTTCGTACTTGTATTGGGTGGCAGGGACACTCTTCAAGAGTTCTGTGTTCAAGCGCTCGCTCTGAGTACCTCTCCTCCATCCTTTGGTCCTTGACGTCAGTGGAAGAGATGCTTGCTACTCTGTTAGTACCACGCCTTGGTCCCGGTCTTTAATGTGGTCTGGTAGTTCGGGAGGCACCTCTAGCATGAGACAAGGTATTGGAACCAGGATTTCCCTCATCTATATGCGCCCGTCCCCAGCTCCCTGGTCGCCAGAGTTTCTCTCCAGTTGAATTCCTTGTTCCTTCAGGTTGAACAGTAGCTTCAGCGGTCTTTCATGCTCAGAAATGATGAGGCCCAATTCCAATCTTCCCTCCCGCCGGAAGTAAGAAGGGGAATTCTGAGTTGCTTGTCGCCTGACAGCTTAAAAGAGCAACGAAAACTACCAGCATCTTTGCTTAAAAACCTGAAGTTCCCTCCAGTGTTTACCATACTTCCTCTAGAGTTTAGGAAGTTAAGAACTTGTGAGATCTTGAGTTTCCTCCTCGCAGCACAGCGAACGGGGTCGGTTATAAAAATGCTCCAAGGAGCAAGTAATTACGAACCTTTATTGACACTACAAGTGCCCCGCAGGGAGCATTTCGAGTTTATTGATGTCTAGGCAAATCCAGCCTGCATTAATGCATTTCCGTTGGACTGACTTCTGTTAGACTCACTTTTATTCTGGCAAAAACTGCCGTAATAAAACAGCTTCTTATTCAAGTTAAAAGAGTTCGGGGGCTGAGGGCAGGGGTCGGGTGGGATAGGGATGCGTGGTGAGGATGCTAATTTATCAAGGATAAACTTTGATTTGTAAACAGTAGACAACTATATTTTAGATTATAAGTAAAACACCACTCTCTGTCAGGGATAGAGTAATAAGTATCATTTCATTAAACTAATTATTTCTTAGGCAATTGTTATAGGGCAGGCAATGTGTGAGGGGATGGGAGTACAAAGATGAACAAAACGTAGCATCTAGTCAGACACAAATCCTACTCACTCAAAGGGGGACATCTTTTAAAATAATAATTTACAGTATGGCACCACGAATCAGAAACATCATTTGAAATATACATGGTATCTGAGTAAGCTCCTGGGTTGAAGTACATGGAGTGTTTAAGCCTTTTGAAGCCCCGAAGATGAGTTTCCCGGTGAAGGGAACACACAGACCCGTTTTCAAAACTGACAAGGGATTAAGCCAAGCAGAGGGAGGATAGAACATTGCAAGTGGAAAAAGGAGTATGCGCAACTGCAGAGAGGAATAAAACGCTGGTGCTTTGGGGCAACTTTGAAGTGGCTCAGTACTGTTAGAAGGGAAAATGGTAAGGGAGAGTGCTGGTCCAAAAGTTTCGGTGTGCTCATAATATTCTATGGCTCCAGAGTGTGGAGCTGTCTTCTCTAATGAGAAAGCCACAGAAAATCTTCAAGAGGAAAGTGAGTTTAATTTATGTATTAAGCTTTAAATTACATTAGGGGAAACTACTTACCTAGCCCAAACAGAAAAAGAAAAGAGGGAAACTAAAGCAACCAAGAACTAGTTATAGGAACACATAAGACAAATGTAAATGCCCAGAAGAAGAATAAGTGAGCTCTCCAACTGTATAATGCTGCTGTTTCAGAATTTTTTAAGCACAGAACTTTTTATATTACGGTGAGCAATTCTGAATGACTGATAACTGTTCAGCGAGACTCCAGGAATTCTTCTTCCCAAATTAAAGCAATTTAGTGTTTGGAGTGTAATTGAATGCCATTTGTTTAGTATTGTTAGACTCATTAAATACAGAGCCATTATAATTTACCAATTGAAAAGAAGCCATACAGGCCAACACTTAGACCAAAGTGAGAACAGTATGGTTTTACTCAATATGTAAGTAGGTGCAAGAATTATAAATATGGGACAAAAAATCTTGTCCACATAAGAAGTCTTTTGGAATTAACTTCTTCTATTAGAATGCTTAGTTTGATGTTCCTGAGCAAATAAGGTTGTTTCTAAATTTTCATTTGATCTTTGGATTGTAAGTTCTTCAATAAAGAGAATATATTTGTCTTTATTCAGCACAATTCTGCAATTATACAATAGCCTATAAATAAATAATGTGAGTAATGGCAGCTGGTTTTAAAATTCTACTTTATCCTTTGACTTAATGTAAATTCATATTTTCATTGCTGGCTGTATTCTCAAATCTAGTTGGCAAGAAATGAATAGATACTTGCAGTCTCATGGTGGAGTTTTTAATGACCCGTGACATTTTTAATAGACTATTTAAAAAAAAAAAAAACATTAAGGTGTATAAAAAAATTAAACAGAAAATACAGAGGGTTCCCATATAACTCTACCTTCTCCCCATACTCACAGCCTCCCTATCAACATTCCTCATCAGAGCAGTACATTTTTTTTTACATTCGACGAACCTACATGTATATATATTAGCACCTACAGTACATGGTTCATATTAGGATTCATCCTTGGTGTACACTTTATGGGTTTTGCCAAATATATACTGAACATATATTCACCATTATAGTATAATACAAATTAGTGTCACTGCCCTCAAAATCCTCTGGGATCTGATTATTCATGCTTCCTTCTCACTGCCCCTCACCCCAGGCTCTGACTTCCCTAATATTTTTACTGTCTCCATAGTTTTGCCTTTTCAAGTGTCATACAGTTGGAATCATACAGTATGTAGCTTTTTCTGATTGGATTCTTTGACTTAGTAACATGCTCCATTTTTTTTCATGGCTTAAAAAACAGATTTTTTTTTTCATGGCTTGAAAGTTCATTTTATTTTAGCACTAAATAAAATTCACTGTATGGATATACCAAAGTTTATCCATTCACTTACTGAAGGACATCTTTATTGCTTTCAAGTTTGGGCAATTATGAATAAGGCTGCTGTAAACATATTTGTACAGTTTTCTGTGTAGATGCAAAACTTTCAACCCATTTGGGTGTATAGAAAGAAATAAGATTGTTGGATTATATGGTAAGAATATGTCTAGTTTTGTAAGACACTGCCCAAGTGGCTTCCAAGGTGGCTGCACCATTTTGCATTCCCATCAGCAATGAATGAGAGTCCTTGTTGCTTCATATCCTTGCCAACATTTGCTGTTGTATTGGTTTAGAGTTTGACCATTATATTAAATGTGTAGTAGTTGTATCTTACCTATGTTACCGTTGTCTTAATTTGCAATTTCCTAATATTATATGATGTTGAGCAATGTGCACATGTTTATCTTCTTTGGTAAGTTGTGTGTTCAGAACTTTTGCTCATGTTTTTAATCAGGTTGTTCATTTTCTTACTATTGAGTTTTAAGAGTTCTTTCTATATTGTGAATAACAGTTCTTTATTACATCTCTTTTTTGAAAATATTTTCTCTCAGTTTGTGGCTTGTCTTTTCATTCTCTTGACAGTTTCTTTCACAGAGCAGAGGGTTTTAGTTTTAATGAAGTCCAACATATTAATTTTTATTTTATTGATGATTTATTTGATGTTTATTTAAAATCTAAACCTAAGATAAACTAGATTTTTCAGATATGTTATCTTTTAGGCATTTTATCATTTTCTGTTTAGGTCTATAGTCTGTTTTGAGTTGTTTTGTGAATCATGCAAAGTTTGTGTCTAGATTATTATTTTTTATCATGTCAATGTCTAATTGTTTCAGCACCATTTGTTGAAAAAGCTGTCTTCTCTCCATTGTCTTGTCTTTGCTTCTTTGTCAAAGAAACAAAGGTTAAATATATTGGGTCTATTCTGGACTTTCTATTCTGTTCCGTTGATCTATTTGTCTATTCTTTCACCAATATCACACTCTCTTGACTGCTGAAGCTTTATAGTAAGTCTTGAAATAGAGTAGCATCAGTCTTCCAACTTTATTGTTTTCCTTTAATATTGTGTTAGCTATTCTGGGTCTTTTGTCTCTCTGTATAATCTTTGGAATGAGTTCGTTGTTATCCAAGAAAATCTTATTGGGATTTTCATTGAGCTTTCA